CCCAGCTTTAGTTCTATCTGTAGGTCAGCAAATCTAGCTTCCCTGATTAAGTGCCAGGATGCACCATACTCCATAAACTAGTGACCTGCTTGAAGGCTCTTAGCTTTACTTGCTTCATAAACTCAAAAGTGTGCTGCGCTGTTTTGGATTCTGGCTCCTGGATTGAGGAGGATCAGAGCAAAGGAATTGGGGGGATCTGAGAACATGCACCACTCTTGGCTCTTCTATTTTGATAGCATTAAAATGCCCCTATTCTTATCTCTGAGATAGCACATTTTATATTCTGCAGCAGTGGTTCTCAACCTGTGGGTCACGACCCCTTTGGGGGGTTGTCAAACAACCCTTTCACAGGGGTCACTTGATTTATAACAGTAGCAAAATTACAGTTATGAAGTAGCAACAAAAATAATTTTATGGTTGAGGGGTCACCAAAACATGGGAACTGTATTAATGGCTTGCGGCCTTAGGAAGGTTGAGAACCACTGCTCTGCAGGATGGCAAAAATGGACAAATTCCCACATCAGATTGCTATACACCCTAGTTGCCTGATCCTACCCAATCATTTGACGGGTGTAACAAGGGCTATTGTTAGAAGAGCTATAGCAAATAATTTACCACATTAAGCTAATGTAATGTCTAATATTTTGTGCAATTATTATTATTTTACTTACTGTACAAAAGACAAAAAGAGCCCTAGTGAGGAAATAGCTAAAGCTCTTGACTATAATAGAGAGTGGTTCACCAGTGACTCTATGGAAGGGAAGATCTGGAGATAAGGTTCTATAAAGATTTACAGTCTTAGAAACCCTAAAGAGCACTTCTACTCTATCTCATATGGTGTCTGCATTAGAATCAACTCGACAGCACATCACAACAACAACGGACAATGAACATCCAGGGCTCTGGAACCAACTCTGCATTAACATCCGGGTGTTGTAAAAAGTACTGGTTCCCATTAGTTTTAACTGGCTTCTCAGTTTGCAGCTGAGCTCAAGAAACAGCATTTTTTAAAGCTCTCTACGTAATATAACATGTAGTCAGGCCTAAGAAGCAGTTTTTATTAGATGCCATTGAGTCTATTTCCATTCATAGTGACCTTGTGTATGGCATGATGATACACTTCCTGGTTTTGTACCATCCTTACAATCATTGTTGATATTTGAGCCCATTGTTGTGGCCAGTGAGTTAATCCATCTTGTTGAGGGGCTTGACTTTTTTTCAGACCCTCTGCTTTACCAAGCCTGATGTCCTTTTCCAGGGGCTGGTTCCTCCTGATATATGTTCAAAGCATGAGACAAAGTCTTAACACTCTCACTTCTAAGGGATGTTCTGGCTATTTCTCCCATCACAGATTTTTTTTCATTCTCCATGGTATATTCAACTAAAATGAAATTCTTGACATATGTCATCTTTTTTCTTTTATCATGATGTTGCTTGATGGCCTAGTAGCTGTGAAGATTTTTGTTTTCTTTATGTTGAGACATAATCCATGCTAAAGGCTGTAGATCTTCATCAGAAAGTATTTCAAGTCATCTTCGAGTTCAGTAAGCAAGATTGTGTCAGCAGCATGTTTCAGCAATTAAGGCGCCTTTCCTCAATCCTGATGCCAAGTTCTTGTTTACATGGTTCAGTTTTTCCCTATTATTTGCTCACCATAGAGATTAAATGAAATGGTGAAAGGATACAACCCTGACACACGCATATCGCTTGACTTTAATCATGCAGCATTCCCTTCCTCTGTTAGAATAACATGCAGCATTCCCTTCCTCTGTTAGAATAACATGTAGCATTCCCTTCCTCTGTTAGAATGACA